GCTCTCTCATGAGTTGTTCTGTGTTGTACTGCTGTGAAGCTGTGCAGTTCATGAGTGGAAATAAGAGAACAAACTGACAGCGCTCTGTGTTTTCCTGCTTTTTTTTTCCAGCTCTCTGTCTGTCTATCCGCTTGCTCGCTTTTTAATTGGGCTCACCGCGTGTGTCCCTAGAGAGCTCCGTGCTGTGTTTGTGTGGGTGAGTCTTGGAGCAAATGATAGTAATTTAGGAATTTGGGCTTGTGTATGTGTGATTGTGTGTGTGAAAAAGGTTAAATGTTTGTACAAGTATGTCCTTAAATGACTATGTTTAAGGGTGTCTGTCTGTGTGAATGTATGTGTAGAATTGTGTAGAGTTTATTTCATCAGGGCTATAGCCCACATCCTGTTCAACAAAAGCTAATGGTGGGATTGAGGGTATTTTAGATGTATAACTGCAGGAACCTTTATGAAACATGGTAACGTGTAATAACATGTCGCTAAAGCGACTTACAAATGAGGATCATTGCAAGCAATTTATCATAACTAGAGCAAACGCACTCAGTATGAGTCTCTAAGCTGGAGTACAGAAGCTAGAGAAGTGGTAAGCATAGAGAAAAGTAAGAAAAAAAATATTTTCCATATATAGAGTTTATTTATTGCAAATGCCTTTGGTTATGGTTTGTAATCTTTCATTTAGTCTCACATTTTCATGATAATTTGTTGTGATGAAACAATATTTTTTTAAATGCAAAGTGAACTGTTACTAGAGACAACAGATATACCCCCGGTTTCACAGACAAGGCTAAAGCCTAGTCCTAGACTAAAATGTTAATCTGAGCTGTTTCAACTGAAAGAAACTTGCACTGACTGATCTTAAAATATGTCAGTGCCTTTGTTTTGTCTTAAAGGTGGGGTAAGTGATTTCTGGTAGCCAATGTTGATATTTCAAATCACCAAGCCCCTATTTTGATAGCTCCGCCCCACACATACTGTACGTATGCAACCCAGGCAATGATTAGTTCTGTGAAACAAAGCAAAACCAATGTTACACCGTGTCTACACCGGACGCGAGCGGCGTGGTGCGACAAAATACTATAGAACTCATTATAATCAGTGATACTGTCTACACTGGATGCGGCGTGGCGCGACACGACAAATTCCTGACAGAAAACTGCTGCTGCGTTCAATTTATGACGTATTGAAAAATTTCAAATGATTTTCGACGGTCACTTTGTCTCGTCCAGTGTAGACAGACTTTAGCTGTTGTGGCGCGGCGCGACAACTGTCGCGTCCGGTGTAGACACGGTGTTACTCACCTATTGAGAAGAAACAAAGCAACCTCGGCATCTGATCGCAGGCCTTCCGCTCCTTGAGTTCTCTCCAGCGCTGGAAAGCTGATCCGATATTTACACGGGTCCTACTTCTTTCCTTATCGTAAGCCTTCTTTTGTTCCGCAGACGTTTTCCTCTTTTGTTTTTTATCCGCCATCTCTATCTGTCACTCGGCTCGGCTAATGTCCATCCTGTGCACTAAGCGCTCTCTCCTCCGCATCATGAGTAGACACGCCCCTTACTGCTGATTGGCTACAAATTTGTTTTGGTACTCCCATACATACCCCACCTTTAAGATGCACACCAGTAATGCTTTTTTCTAAGGCATGTTTATATAAAAATTTATTAAATGTCCTAACTGAACTATGGCCTAATCCTGGCTTAGGCTAAGCCCTGTCTATGAAACCGGCCTAGGTATTTCCATTTGTGCCACTAGTTATCTTCGATTTAGATTTCTCAAGTATTGTCAGTCTGTAACTAGAGCTAAACCTGCCATTACCATTACCTACCATTATTACATGGCTCTCTGGAATACTTGATTCTGATTGGTCAATCAAGGAATCCTGTGGTCAAATACTTTAGTATTTTGATCTCTAAACTGTGTAATTGACTGCTGTCCCAGTCTCCCTTACTTTGTAAATGTTCTTCTTATCTGTATGAAATGGGTAGAGTTTATGAAAATGATTATTTAAAAAAAAAACAGGTTTGTAGAACTAATTATTGTAAAACGGTTATTAAAGAACTACTCATGTCTAATATGTTTGGATAAGCTATAAGGAGATAAAAAATGGAGTGATTTAGTAGCGATTTTCCACTAAACCATATCAAGAGCTGATTGTGTGGAATATATTGTAACACTTGATTAGGGAACATTACTAACTAGTTGTTTATTAGTGTGTTGGCTGTTAGTACTTATAAAGCACATATTAATACCTTATTCTGCATGACCATATTCTAGATCTCTTAACCCTTCCTCATACCTAAACATAACTACTACAACATTAACAACTACCTTACTTTATATCAGTAAGCAGTAATTAGGAGTTTAATGAGGAAAAACTCTTAATAGTGAATATATGCTCCCTAATCTAAAGTGTTTCTGAATATTTGCATGTAATACACACACACACACACACACACACACACACACACACACAGTTCAAAATTGGCAACTGGCAAAGCAGTGATGGCAAAAATTTTTTAGCAGTCATTACTCCAGTCTTCAGGTTCACACGATCCTTTAGAAATCATTATAATATGCTGATTTGATGCTTAAGAAACATTTATTATTATTATTATTATTATTATTACTACTGAAAAACTGGAAACTATGACACATTTCCCCCCCAGTTTCAGTGTTGGTGTGATTACTGTCTTTTGCTTTTGTTGGCAAGTATTGATGGATCAGTGAGAAATGGGGATGACATACTCAGTGAAAAATCCATAAAAAACTAAACAAACACAATAGAGGAGATAGGGAAGACCTAAGTAAGGACTGTTTTTATAATCTGGGGGCTGTCAAGGCTGGATTCTGATGTAATTTTCTTCTGTTCTAGTTTGCATTGCAAGAGGGGGTGGTGATGAGGCGGGCGGTAATAATTACCCAGAATTCTTTAGTGGTCTCATTTCTTGCTGTTCTATAACGTCTGCCTTCACGCTCTCTACTTCTCTTTTTATGGTTCCTTCTTTTCTTTTTCTTCTGAACCTGCAATTACAGAGACTTCTTGACTCTTTCTCTCTCTATTGTGTGCTTTCTGAGCCAGAGCATGAGTGCAAAGTGCAAAGCTGTCTTCGTTTCAGTTGAACAGAGGAGGGATGAAATCTGTTTTAAAGCATTTCAAAAAGTAATTGTCTCCCCCACATTCCTATCGTTCTCTCTCTTTCTTTCTTCTGCTTTGGAATTGAACTTTCCATGCATTTTTCTTCCTTTTCTCAGAAAAAAGGAAACTTAGAAGGCAGGGACTCTGTCAAAGATCAAATACACCAGATATGCAGAGCATAAATTGGACTTCTCTGGCCCCACTTTATATTAAGTGGCCTTAACTACTATGTACTTACATCAAAAATTAAGTACTATGTACTTATTGTGTTCATATTGTATTGCAAAACACTTTTGCTGCTATTGAGGTGGGATGCGGGTAAGGTTAGGGACAGTTTTGTTGGTATGAGTAGGTTTAAGGGTGGGTTAAGGTGTAAGCAATGGGTCAACTGTGTAATTATAAATGTAATTACAGAAATTAATTACAGATGTAATTACATGCAGGTATTTTAAAAATATAAGTACAATGTAAAAACATGTATGTACACAATAAGTGCATTGTACCAAATTATTAATTTAAATGTAAGTACATAGTTGTTAAGGCCACTTAATATAAAGTGGGTCCATTTCTTTTGTGCTTTGTACTCTGCAAGAATCTGTCAAACAAATAACAAAAACCTCTGTGCTCTTTTCAAACCCACTGTTTATTGTCATCAAAGTCACAAAGATGTAGCAAAATTTAAAACTACATTATTTTCTGTTTAACAAAAATAGACATGTTTCTTCCTAAGGCTTTACATTTGCACGAAAGAAAAACATTTAAACGTAGTTTTATACATGAACAACCTCAAAGTGTAATAATGTTCTCACTTCCAAACGTCACATATTCACACAAATTCGTACATACACACTACAAAAAATAAAACAATACATATTTACTATAGAGTGACATTCAGATATAAATTACCCTGTAGAAATTATTTTTACTCTTTAAAAATACAAAAATGTATATGCATATATACAGTACATAGACAAAGAACGGCATTGTAAAACTAAACAGAATGATTAGGGAAAGAAAAACTGTCACTTTTTTCCATTTTGCTCTTTCCAAGTATTTTTTTTCTTTCTGTATCTTGTGGCCAGTGTTCCCACACAGAGAACATTAATTAAGTAAACCCATATGACAGCACTTCAGGCACTTGCACAATATTTTCACACATCATTTCCAGAGGCAAGTAAGAAAAAGAGACTGTTTATGCTGTCAGAATTTAATCCAACATTTTTTTTTTTTTACTTGTGTTGTTTCTCTCTAAATAAATACTCATTTTATCTCGTTTGTTTGTACCCTTTGGTTTACACAACATGTTTCTCTACAATTCTCTGCTGAAATGAGCTTGTTCATTTCATGAACTTACTTTAAAATTCAGTCTATGCAGGTTTCGTTTTAAATAAATAAATAAAATCAATAAAGGCACCGAAAGAACAGGTCTGCCCATTGCTGGGGGCTTCATATCTAAACCCTGAAGATACAATACATGCTACAAAAAAATCAAAACCACATGCCACTGATTTCCACTAAAACATCATCTAGAAAATATTGTTTCTTATTCTGTGTTGAAAAACTCACAATGCGATCTTGTTTTCTCACATTTCACCATGTGATACAGTAAGTCAAAGCAGTCACCTATTCATAAGTCTAAACAGCACTTTATCACTATAACATAAGAGACAAATCAGACCACGATATGTAATAGGCCCTACGGATTCTCTTTGAATGTTGACTAACTAGCAGCTTTCGTGGCTTGCAGCTTTACAGAAGTTTGATTTCAGAATTGATTAGAGAAAGGTAGAAAGAAAGAAAGAAACAAAAGAAGGAAGAGAATTAATATTTTTTTATAAAAAAAGAATCTCTTTTGCTACTAAAATCTCTTGCTACAGTTACATCTTGAATTCTTTTTGAGTTGAGAAATGCAGAGCCTGGAATCCCGCTGTTTCCTCTGCCTTCATTGTTCTCTCTCCCTCCAGAGTCGAAGCTCTACCTTTGTGATCGTTCATCTCTATAGCAACAGGAGTCCTCAGTGTGTAGGTCTGGCTTCGACTTCCCCATCTTTTATGATTTCCTTGGCCCTCACAATCTTTCCATTTTCCTGATGATGCCCGGAGCCATTCGGGGAACTGCGTTTCAAGAGTCGATTGATGATGTCACTGCAGGTCTTCCTGTACTGGTGTCGCAGAAGAGAGTAGACGAAGGGGTCGCATGCAGCTTTGCTGTACGCCAGACTCTTACACAGCACGCCCCAATTTTGATTAAATGGCTCCGTCACAAATAGCTCCACAATCCTAAACACATGACACCCACATGAGCAAGACAAGCTGCAAAGTCCGTTCTCTGCAGTTAACACATTTTCAGGATCTTATTTGCATATGGAAGGTTATACGTTTGTATTGCAGAGGCAGTAAATGCAGAGCAATTTCTGTTTTCAGTTTGGTTATGTGAGGGATAATCTGTGACCTGAATGGGACACTAACAATTGCTCATAACAAATTGCGTTTGACAGGGGCTTTGAGGAGGAAAAGCTGCAGTAAGAGTCAGGGATACACAAGACAAGTTCATCCTTCCATCTTCTCTGAGCTTACACAGGTTATGTAACATACCTAGTCAGGAAGCCCTTCTTCATTTTGGATTATAAGTCAGGTGGGCCAGAGACATTAGTATGGGAACTACAGGCTTCACATTACATGACTTATTCGATTACAGTTACTCTTTAATGTATTACATGATTACATATAATTCACACAGTATTTTAAACAAAAAAATTGTTCCCCTGAGATTTTATTAGGTTTATAATATTTCAAATTAACAACAAATTTGCACGTTACAGTTCCCTGATGTCAGTTAAAAATAACACTGATATGCAGGTAAACAAAAAAAATATTTTCATTTTTAGTGCTTTTATTTTTTATTTTGACATTTTTAGTTCACATTTTTATGATTTCGTTAATTAGCTTTTCATCAAACCCTGCAGTTCCTTCACAAACCTCAGTTTGGGAAACCCTGACATTTAATGCACTTCGTGTTGTTGATAATAAAGAATATAATATATTTTCTTTTGGTACACAATAATATTATTCAAATGTATGTGATAAAAGAGTTAGGTCAAAATAATTTAAAAGTAATCAAAATGTAGTCACATTATATTACCTAAAACTGTGTAATCTAATAGATTTACGTTATAGACTACGATTTTTGTCAGGTACTTTGTAATCAATAATGGGCTGCAATTTATAAGTAATATTACTTATTATTTGTAATGCATATTTTGATGCATCATATTTAAATTATTACTATTTTTATTTGATTGCTTTTCATTTTATCTACATTACTGACATTTTTCAGTTTGGCTTTAAACACACATTGTACCTTATAGCTAAAAGAATTAGTACCATATAAAGGTATTAATTAAAAAAACTATTGGCTAATGATCACTAACAAAATGGAGTATGTTAAAATATGAAATAACAATACGCAATACCCTTAAACAATACGCAGTGTCCTCCAGTTTATTAGTATTATATCAAGCATGCAGCTAATAACATCCAGGGATCTCAACCTGGCCAACAAATTAAAACTATAATCACAGCATGACTGCACAGATGCTGAGCCCAGGGGAGTAAAGCTGCTGGCTCACCTGGTAATGACATACGGGGTGAAACAGATGACGAAGGTTCCAATGAAGGTACTAATTTTGCGGGTGGCTCTCTGTCTTCTCCTTTTCTGCTCCTCCAGACAGCGCTGACGAACACTGGGCAAAAATTTAGATGATCCATTTAGATGACTTCTCTCACTTGAATTGTGTATTATGTTATTATGCATGTGAGACAACCACACTGGACTGCCTTTTATCCAGCTTCAAACAGATGTTATCTAAAACTGTATCTATGCACCAGATGAACATACATATTTCACCACCGACAATATTAGGAACCTTTTACATATTCTCACAAAATATTCAAGAGACTTAGCAGGTGTTCCCATAGAGTGAGGATGTTTGCCCAAGCTGTTTCAGTGAATCATTGAAATGTCAGATTAACTTTGTCACCTGCAGTGGATTATTTAACACTTGTTCATATGGTCACTTGTGTTAAACAGAAGTACGTTGTGATTGGTTGATTGCTATCAGTCTATAAAAAGCTGTAGCTTTTTATTTATTTATTTACATGGATAGCAAAAGAGCCAACAGCTGGCAGTCATTTTCCTTTCTCTTTGCATGTGTGGAGGGCTGTGATACATCCCCTCCTGAACACCAGATGTGCTCATTACATGTGGTGTGTAGGGCTATTGTGATTTGTCATTGTTGGTTAATAAGTTATTGTGGTCGACATGTAGCCATTGAAAGTCATCCAGAGCTCTGGGCAATGAGCTGATGATGTTCACTCTCTGATGAGCACAAATGTCTCTTGATATCTGTTGGCACGTGAGAGAGGTGTGCTCAACCACTAACTTTTTTTCAGCCATATTATTTGGTAGCAGAATACAAATGTGCCACATTATATTATTTAATGTTGATCACTGATTTATTTTAAAGTAGAAATTGTTGATCACAGTTCTATTTATGTTTTGTGTAATTGCACCAGTTACATTTTTGATAGTAATTAGTCCAAGGGGTCCAGTTAGAGTTGTTGATGTATTTTTTAGACCGTCTTGATTTCATGTTGACATTTTACATGGCTACTGTGAAAAGTCGCATGACTTGAGCGGTTTAATTCCTGTTTGATCTATTGAAATATAATGCCTTTGTCAATGATCAGTCCAGTCTCAAAATCTCAAAATCTCAGTTTATGCATTTTTTGACATTTTTTCAGCTCTGTAGTTTTCCACCAGTTACAATTTTGACAATGAATATTTTAAATTCATGAGTTAGTTAATTAATTTCAAATATGTAGTTTGTTTCTGTGATATATCCAAGGAATAAAATGCATGTTCACTCCGTTAAGAACAATTATTTAGAATTCAGTAGGTTAAAATGCCTGTCAGATCTATTGTAGGGGCTGTGGACCAAAACTGTGGTGCTGAAACCCAGCAGCTCTGAAGAGTTTCTCTGGCCTCTATTTAACGTTTGAGCGCTGAATATGTGATATAATTTTTATTGGTGCGGACACTTAAAATCAAAAGCATAATTTGAAAAAAAAAAATAGTACTTTATATATATATAATATATATATTAGTAAAAAGCATGGGGAAAAGCAAGGGGAATTCCCAGAGTTGACTGTGCAAACATTATTGGTGTTATTGGTTATGTACATTTGTTTAGGGTTTGTTGCATTTTATGTGATTTTTTAAAGTTTATAATGTTTGTTAACATGATGATGTTTGGTAACATTTGAATTATTACTGAATAATGTTGTTGCATTTGATAATTTTGATGAACTTTTAATCAGCATATGGCCTATACATATGTGTTGTTACCAGCGCTTTTTCATGTTAGCTAATTCAATTTAGTAACTTGACAGTTAATATAGCCTAAAACGGGCCGTCGCCAATATCCTTGTATTATCGTGTATTTCTACGATAAAGTTCCGGAAACCACCGCTGCCAATTTTCTTTTTCTTTTTTTTTCTTTCTAAACGTAAAAATCTGCATGTTCTCATTCAGTCTTACCTCGGGTGAATGTCCACCAGCAGTACGAGCGTTTGCATGGTTATCACGTCTATGCGCTTGCAGTGAAAGCGCGCGACTTTGAGCACTTTCAGATACGTGACGCAGAGCACCACCGACACCAACAGGAACGTGAGCGAGTGCTGCACCACGGTGTAAATCGCGAACTGCGTCTTGGCATTGACCGCCCTGCCGTTACAGAGCGTGCACGAAGCGTACAGCTGATGGTAACCCACCCAGGAGAGGCACGCGGCAACCACAGAGAAGGACAACGAGTGCACCCACGTGTAAGCCAGCGCGATTACAGCGTCCCGGTGACGGATCCTGGAATGGTAACTCAGAGGGAACACCACTGCAACCCACCGGTCGATACTGAGCGCAGCCATACTCAGCATGGAGTTAGTGGTCAGGAAAGTGTCCAGAAACCCCACCACCTGACAGAAAATGTGTCCTCCGGGATGCGCATTACTCAGCACCCCGAAAAGAGTCAACGGCATGCTGGAGGCGGACAGAAGCAGGTTGCAGAACGTCAGGTTGAGTATAAATAACCCAGGAACCTGCTTGCGAATTTCTGCATTGTACAAGAAGCAGATCAGCACCAGCACGTTGGACAGCAGCGACACAACGATGATCACGACGAGTAGGAGAGAGAGCGCGAGCTCCGCTGTGTGCATGATGTTCCCCGCTCTTAAAGCCCTCAACTTTGAACCGCAACTCCAGGACAGTTCATGACGGGGAACTAAATCGCATCAATACAACTTGTAGATCCCCCCAACGCGATATCCACTTGTACACGGGCGCTCGATACACGGGTCTCCATGACTCCGACCTCCGTTTAGTCAGCGAAGTGTTGGGAAAATCCATCCGAACTGTTGGAACGCGAAATCTCAAGAGTAGACGATTAATCCGCTCTTCCTCGCAACCCTAAAGGAATGCCTCGCGCAATTGCGCAGCTCGGGTTTGCGCGCGCTTCTAATGCAGAATTCGCCCTTGAAACAGCTTTATATGTCAAAATGTCACCCCCCACCACCCACACACACTCACGAAATGCGCACACGTGACTAGCGTCAAAGGAATCGTCAGTGAATTAATTTTGTGAGAGGACTAAATTTAGACCGTGTTTATATTTGTCGAAGGGAACTCTTTCACGTCACGAGGAGGCAAAAGCCCTGGGTCTCGTGGTACAATTTTATGATTCGCTCGCGCACACAGCTTCAGTCCTACAAGATCTTGAAGAGCTGCAGTCACTTTTATGCATTTAGAAACGCGATTTGTAACGCATTTAATTTCGACGTTTGTAACTTGGTGATTTGTAGGACTATAAGTCTCAAACGTTCATATAATCCATATTTAATTGCTGCGAATGAAAGAAGTTTAGAAATCTACTGCTTATTATTAAACTGTGCAAATTAATGTAGAGTACAAATTCCCAATAGAAACATGGAGATTTTAAATGGGCATGAATTTCTTGTGGTAAACTTTGACATGTGCTCTTTTTAAGATATTCATATCAGACACATGCTAGTTTACTGCCTGAGTTTGGCCAAATACATTTTGTCCTCACCATTTAACATGCTGAGAGACGCCATGGAAATTATGAAAATTTCATTTTTCATTTCAATCTCTGACAATCAAACGTTTGATTAATATCAAAGAATTCCTAGATAGGGTGAAACATAATCTGAGCAGCTCTTTTCAGCAGCAATTGGAATAGCTAGAGGCAGACACAAAGAAAAATAGAGAGTGAAGGAGGGATTCGAAGTCTAGCACTTTTAATCAAACCTTTGGTAAAATATTGATTTAAGCTATCTAGGGGAGAAATATGCTATTATTGTTCAAGCCAAATCATTTCCAGTATACATTCAAAAAAAAAAACATCTATGTAACTGAACAGATAATCACATTATTGTTGGATTCTATTAAAGTAGAACTTTAAAAATGTGTGTGTGCAGTAGTTCATGTGAAGTTTTCACAAACACACACATTTAGTATATTTGAAGGTTATTTAATGGGTTATATATATAGTTCAAAACAGACCCTGTACTTTTTAACGTGTCTTTAAATCTGTGATCTCTCAATAATAACGAATCCAGTATTGCTAATACAAACAGTCGATTCTGGGACTTGGCTCTATATTTGAATACAAAAATAGAGAGAGAGTTAGAGGGAAGAGCCAGGCTTGATGCATTTGGCTCTTGTTTGCTTTGCTGGGGGATGTCAGATGAATTTCCTGTCACTTTGTGTATATGAATCTGTATGTGAATTTGTACATGTGCACGTGTTTGTGCGAGTGCACGTGTGTATGTTTGCATGTTGACATGTAGGGCACTACTTCATTTAACAGTATTCATAGCACTATTTTGACTGGAATGAGAATGACATTTTGAATGACAGTTTTTGTCTTATACCAGATATTTTGCTGGGGAATTACTTTCGTTTTGGCTCCTCTAATTAGAAAGCAACCCTGACATTTACTTTTACTGAACCAGAAGATCGGTTTACACACACCCACACACCAGCCCAGATTCGTATGTTGGATGCATTTCTATTTCACTGCAATGTCTCTCTTAAAACATAAACCCCTTTTTGTAGCATGAAGAGATAAACCAGTGCATGCACACACACACACACACACACACACACACACACACACACTCACATGCTCTCATACTCATTAGTGGCTCACTGAGGCCACGTAAAGATTGCCGCTGTCCTCTGTTACCACGGAAACGCCCACGCTGTCTGGGCAGTGGGTGTGTGGTGGTCCATCCCATGATCCTTTGTGACAGCATGAACGATTCTGACCAAATCAGTGGAGCAACTGCACAGATCTCGTTATTCTTCTTGAGGGGGCGATACGGACAGCTTGTCTTGATGTGAAACATAGGCTTTTATCTCCATCGCTTTTTCTGCATAATTCAATAAATTTCCCTCTTTTTTTTAGAGCTAATTTGTGTTTTAAAATATTAGATGTAGTCAGGAACAATCAGACACTAAGTGAAGGCTAAATCATTTTGGGATCTTGCCAAAACTCGCCAATTATTTTGTCACATTTATTATTGTAATACTTACTATATTATTAAAAAATATTATATTATATTATATTATATTATATTATATTATTCTACAGTTAAAAGCCTCTAATATCAATAAACCCTTTTGAGCTTAAGTGCTTTGGAAAACATTGCTGGTTGTCGTATGTTGATGTTGGGTTTCTGGTATCATTCTTGCCACAGGACATCATCTACCTTTGGTCCACTGGATTCATGTTTCTACATGGCACAATAGCTGTAGCTTTGCGAGGGCATAAAACCCTCATAATTTCCATTTCACTGGGTGCCTTCGTTGAGCACAGAGAAGCGCCTGTTGATCTATAATATTAATTTACATACATATTTTTCTCCAACATGACAGTGCATCCATCTAAGCATGCATTTAAAAGCTGAAAAGCACAGGTTGACCGAGCCCAGGGCAAGGAGGATGTCAAAATCATTCATTTGGATGTACATTTGGATGTACAAAATGTACATTTTGTGCTCCAGGGGATTATACCGAAGGTAATTATGTGTAATTAGATGATGCTATTGTTTCTATAGCCTGGATTATACAGCCTGAGATCTGTGTGTATTGTAATCTCCCCAAACCATTGGAATGTGAGTGATGTACACATGATCTGCATGGTAAATACCATGAAATGCTGCCCTGTGGACTAGATGCATTGCATTCTGGGCCCAGTGATTCTGATTCTGCCAGATTCATTATTGTGTTGCTTGTTGCATGAGATGAAAGGCTTGTATGCACAACCCAGTTCATGTCATATGCTTAAGTCAAAGGCTGTATTTCAAAAGTTAAAAATGGCTTTCTGTTTCAGTTGATTTAGGATGTATTATATTCCGGTCTGCCAGGTTTTCAGAGAGAGAGAGAGAGAAAATTGCTGCAAATAATGCAATACATTGACCTACGCAGTGAGAGTGTAGGTGAAGATCTCTAATATGATTAGCCAGATTTGAGCAAAGGGTCTGAATACTTAGGACCATTTGATATTTCAGTTTTTCTTTTTTAATAAATCTGCAAAAATGTCAACAATTCTGTGTTTTTCTGTCAATATGGGGTGCTGTGTGTACATTAATGAGGAAAAAAAATTTACTTAAATGATTTTAGCAAATGGCTGCAATATAACAAAGAGTGAAAAATTTAAGGGGGTCTGAATACTTTCAGTACCCACTGTACAGTATTTTGCCAGTTTTAAAGGGGTCTTTTTATGTCAGGTTCACCTCTGTAGCTGTGGCTCCATCTGGTGGTTTAACTGGTTAAATGCTTGTCTGCAATTTTGCAATCAGTACAGTTGCTTGCTCTGGATTTACATTTGACCAGAATGCATTTAATTAATTTTACTCAGAATTATTTTGATTCATTTATTGTCAGTTTCTATTTGTATGAGGACTGTTGTTTATTATGTATGCACTGCATATTCTGTGATTGTCTCTGAGGCATTTCATCTTTACTTTGACAGCTAATTTATTTTTGGTGGTGGAGCCCTGACTAATCAAAGCCTAGTCCTCATTTGAAAAAAAATTATTTTGACTCTAGTCATTATGCGATTAGAGGAAGCACTCTTGCACTTAAAAGCAGGAAAAGAGTTACCAATTTAAGGGCCCTAGGCAAATGGGCCCTCTTCAAATGAACATATTTACCTGGATTTCCCCCAGATTCTTCCCACTGTCCAGTTTGCACAGTGGTGTTCTCTACACTCTTAAAAATAAAGGTTTCAAAAGGGGAGCTTTCATAGAAGAACCAGTTTGGGTTCTCCAAAGAACATTTCAGTGACCAGTTCGAACCTTTTTTCCTAGTGTGGAGAACATTAGAATAATGCAAAAAACCTGTTTCACTATAAATAACCTTTTGTGGAGTTGAAAGGCTCATTGGATGTTAAAGGTTTTCCATAAAAACCGATGCCAATGAAGAACCTTTGTTTTAAAAAAGTGTGTACTGTTAATTTTGTTTGATCATTGCTTGTTTTTCCAGATGTTTAAATGTGAACTCCTTGTTTTCACCTCTAGAGGGAGTGCTTGGTCTTCACTGAAAACATTCTGGTCCCACAAGTCTGTCATCACTTCTCAACAGACCTAATAAACATCATCAGCATCCTATAATGCCCATGTGCGTTGTACGGGCACAGGCCCAGGGGGCAGAGTATAAGTGCTGTTTGGTCTGTCCTCAGAGTTCACAGTCAGGGTTAATCTGTCATGTTTAGCGAGACTGAGTTTAAAGCACTAGTTCACCCAAAGATTAAAATTCTGAATTAGTTTTCTTCTGCGTAAAAAAACAACAACAAAAAACCAAACAGAAGATGTTTTGAAGAATGTCTATTTTTGTCTATGTTATGAAAGTCAATGGGAGCCAAAATCTTCAAGCCTTAAAAAAAAAACACACACACACACAAAAAAAACACCTGAAACATCTATCAAGATACTTTTCATACTTTTCATTACTTTCATTAAAAAAACAATAATAAAAAAAAAAAAATTATAATAAAAAAAATAAATAAATAATTAAATAAATAAAATGGGGCCAATTCGCGTTTTTGTGTTCTACTGCTTTAAATTTGGCCTTTAAGGGTTTATGCCGGGCAACTACTAATTAGTACTCATTACTAAACTGTCAAATAATTATGCTGCTATTTAATAGTTATTTGGCTAATTAGTTGAATTTTGAGAAATTTAAGTACATTCATTACAGTCCTGGACGTACCTGAGCATAAATGTCTTGCTCAAGGGCACAATGGTGATACAATTGTTGTTTGTGGGTTTTAAGCATGCAACCTTTCAGATTTTGGGCGAGACTATGCTACACCATTTCAGAGTGGACTTAAATTACTTAATTCAGACAGGAACCAGCAAAGAAAGATTTTAAAATGTTTTAAAGAATTTGT